ATAAATGACCCACTCGCTTGGTGAGTCAAAGATAATTAACGTCTCACATCCACATTTCTGTTAAATTCAATGCACGTTTTATTCAGTCCAGAAAAATGAAGAATCCGTTTTAATTGATGAATATATCTCAGCATCTGTTCATCTATAGCTACGTAGGAGAAGGATCCGGGTACTGAAATGGCCAGCCTGCAGTCCAGATCTTTTACCTATAGAGAACATTTGGCACATCATAAAGAGGAAGGTGTGACACAGAAGGCCCAAGACGATCGAACAGTTAGAGGCCTGTATTAGACATGAATGGGAGAGCATTCCTATTTCTAAACTTGAGAAACTGGTCTCCTCTGTCCCCAGACATCTGTTGAGTGTTGTAAGAAGAAGGGGGATGCCACACAGTGGTAAAAATGGACTTGTCCCAACTTTTTTGGGATTTGTTGACGTCATGAAATTTGGAAACAACAGATTTTTCCCTTAAAATGATACATTCTCTCAGTTTAAACTTTTGATCTGTGATTCATGTTCTATTCTGAATAAAATATTAGATGTTGGCACCTCCACATCATTGCATTCAGTTTTTATTCACAATTTGTTTAGTGTCCCAACTTTTTTGGAATCCGGTTTGTATTCTATTCTATTCTATTCTATTCTATTCTATTCTATTCTCTTCTATTCTATTCTATTCTATTCTATTCCATCTTCTGTGACTAAGAGTGAGTGTTTTAGAGGAGATGAGGAACTGTGCTGTACTTTGTCTCACAGAAACATGGCTTAATAACAAGATGCTGGACTCAGCATTCCAACTGGACAACAGACTACTTTCTAGGGTGGTCTGCAACCTGCTATCGTGGAAGGCACGGGGGTGTGTGTGTGGGGGGGTGGGGGTGGGGTGGGGGGGTGTATGCGTCTACCTAAACAAAGGTTGATGTACAAACTGTTCTGATAAACTGTTCCTGCTCCGAGGGTTTAGAACTACTGACTGTGAAATGTCGGCCACATTACTTACCTCGGGAGTTTACGGCGGTGTACACCATCGGGGTCTATATAACCCTGGATGCTAATGCTAAAGACGCTCTGCGGAAGCTAAATGATAACATGAGCTTGCTTCAAAACAAGCATCCGGAGTTTTTTTACGTGGTGGCTAGTGATTTTAATTACGTAAACCTGAAAGACAGTCTGCCAAGATTTTATCTGCATGTCACCACACCAACACGGGGAAAAAACACACTAGACCATGTTAATACCAACATACGTGAAGCTAATAAAGCTGTACCATGTCTCCACCTTGGCCTCTCTGACTACATCTTCATCTTTCTGGCCCCTGTCCACCACCCCCGCTGAGACGTTCCAGACATACACAGAAAACCATCACTGTGTGGCCCAGCAACAGTGACTCATCACTGCAGAACTGCTTTGCACTTACAGACTGGCAGGTCATCAGGGAGGCTGCTGTAAATGAGGGAGAACTGGATATGGAGGAATGCACATCTGCTGTCCTTGGATACATCAGCAAGTGTGTTGAAGATGTCTCAATCACCAGGACTGTAATGTGCTACCCAAACCAGAAACCCTGGCAGAACACAGAGGTCCATACCCTGCTGAAAGCCAGAAATGTTGTCTTCAGGCCTGGCGACTCACAGGAACTGGGGAGGACAAGGAAAGAGCTGGCTGCTGGTATTAAGAGGGCCAAAGCCACATATGCACGGAAGAGCCAGGGACATCGCTCCTCACAGGACCCAAGAATCATGTAGAAAGGCTTTAACTGCATCACAGACTATAAAAGCAAAGGTGCACAATGCCCTGGGGACCAATCATTGCCTGATGCTCTTAATAGGTTATATGCCCACTTTGAAGACTCAAATAGACCACCCAGCACCTCACCATTTGAAGAGTTACTCAGTGTGACCTCAGCAGAAGTAAGGAGGACGTTCAGGAAGATTAATCCTCACAAAGAAACTGGTCCAGACAACATCCCTGGGAGGGTGCTGAGAGACTGTGCCGATCCGCTCTGCAAGGTGCTGGCCAACATATTTAACTCCTCCCTGACACTGGCAACTGTTCCCACCTGCCTGAAGACTGCCACCATCATCCCAGTTTCTGAGAGCTCTACACTGAATGACTACCGGCCATTAGTCCTCACCCCGATAGTCGCCAAATGCTTTGAAAGACTGGCCATGACCCACATCAAAGCTACCATTGTCATCAGCGAGGACTCACACCGGTATGCATACCACAAGAATTGAACAACAGAGGACGCCATCTTCTCTGTGGTCCACACTGCTCTCAACCACCTCGAGCAGAAGGACTCCTACGTCCATATGATCTTTGGACTTCACATCCGCTTTCAACACCCTGATTCCCCAGACCCTGATGGACAAACAAGTCACACTAAGCCCCTCCCTATGCAGCTGGGTCCTAGACTTCTTAACCAACAGGCCAAAGTCTGTGAGGACCCATAACTTCTCCTCCTCCACCATAACCCTCAGCACTGGCTCTCCTCAGGGCTGTGTGCTAAGCCCTCTCCTATTCACTCTGCTCAAATAAAGATTTTTCACTTTTAATTTGAGGGTTTTTTTACATTTCAGGACTTGAGTTTTTTAAAATTATTATTATTATTTTTTTAACCAGGTTCTAAAACAATTCAAATCTAGATTTTCTTCCTTGGCATTGTGTTAACTAGGAATTTGAGATATATATACGGTACACGGTAGATACGATAGACATTTAGTCTATGATAGAGATCTGTATTCTACCAGCTAACCGCAGTAATGATGTGTCTGATGTAAAATCAGAGTTGTCAGATTCATTTGTTACTTTTTTTTAGTTGAAAACTGTGCGTAAGTGGTGTTAAAGTTCTTTCTTCGAGAGCTAAGTAGCAAAGCTACAAGCTAACTACAGCCGGCTTGCCGTACTCTCATTTGGACGCATGCGTAAAACGCTGTGTTCTGTCTAAAGTTTTTTTTCGTCGTCAAAAGTTTGTTGGTCAGCTTTAGAGAGTACATTTGTGCTAAAAATTTTTTTTTAAAAAGGTTCCTTCTTTCTGATCTGTGAAAAGAACGCTGTGTTATGTGATTTTATTGCGAGACCCTCTGGTCAAAGCCACAGAGGAAACTGGTCACCATTTTGTGTCATCTCTCCTTAAAGTGGAAGGAGATGCACACTAGAAGGCTGGAGGGTTAAGTGTTTTCAGTGTAAAATGCTGCTCTGTTGCTTTTAATTTTTTAAGTGAGAATACTGGAAACTATTAAGAGTTAACAACATTTTCTTTTGTTTAAAACATAAGTCTAAAACTACATTTGATATATGTTGCACTGTTTTGGACTACAAGAAAGAAGTCTAATACTTACTAATAATACTTGATTTGTTTTTTACTTAAAAACTCTATAGACCTATGGAATTTTCTTAACCCTTGTGTTATGTTAAGGGTCAATTTGACCCGTTTCAATTTTTGTGTTGATCAAAGTGCAGGTTATCCTTTCTTTTTTTCCATGAAATGTTGTGACTTTTTCTCCTCTAGGGTCATGAACTTCTATGTAAAATCTGGACTCTTTGATGTGTTGTTAAATGTCTGCACACAGTTTGTATACAAAGATGATGTTGCGGGTCATTTTGACCCGCACACAGAGTAGCTGTTAAAAATCCAAAAAAAAAGTCTTTGATGTACTTCATTTTGATTGCCT